TTTCTGGTGTTCCTTAGCTTGCTGATTGAGAAAAACAAAACAAAACACACTGCAGTGAATAACTGAAACATTCTGAAGGCAATCGAACGTTTTTTAAATCAGAAGAGATGGACATTGTGTCCCATCCAAGACTGTATACGGTCGTACCCCCTTATCCTTAGAGGATACATTCCAAGCCATTCAGTGGTTGCCTGAAACTGCTGATGGTCCCGAAGCCTATGTTAGTTTCATATCCATACCACCAATGATAAAGTTTGAAGAGTGGCAGCAAAGCTAGCAGGAATGTCTTTTTCCTTCTTCACAATTCCACAGGTAGAAGATTCGTTTTTACTGTCTTAGCAACCTCAGCATATGACTTTTTCTTTCTTTCTATTAAGTGGAGAGCTTTAACCTTTTCATTCAAAGGAAGCACTTTAGGGCTTCTTTTGGGCTTATCTGAATGGCTAGGATCACTATTCTTGCACTTTGGGGCCATTATGAAATAAAATGAGGGCCACTTGTAAACAAACACTGCAATACTGAGATAGCAACTCTGATAACTGAGAAGGCTACGACGTGACTCGCAGGCAGGTAGTGTAGACTGTGGATCCCTCAAACAAAGGGATGATTCACATCCTGAGAAGGAAGGCACAGGATTTCATCGTGCCACTCAGAATGGCAGCCATTCAAAACTTGGGAATTGTTTATCTCTGGGATTGTCCATTTAATATTTTCAGTGGGTAACTGAAATCAGAGAAAGCAAGACCATAGATAAGGGGGCACTACTGCAATTTTTTGCCCTTAACTAAGTGACTGTGCTGCCGACGAGCCAATGGCAGATGAGGCTTAGGTAGATCAGGTGGAACCAGAAGACGGACCAGCCTTCTCTGCAACCCTGAGCCTGGGGTCAGAGGAGGAAAGGCGTCCCTGCAACGTGAGCTTATTCCTCTCCCTCTGACCTTTCCAGATAGTTTCATAGCTCTGGAGGATGAGAAGATGCTCCAATTCCAGCTCTTGGCTGATTCTGTGATGCCTCTGACCTAGCTCTTCCCTCATCACTTCAATTTATAAAGAAAATATTATCCTCTATGACAAGTGGCATTTTTCTTCTGCCATTTGCAAGCTTTTCCTCGTGGCCGCACAAGCTTCTAATTAATAAATTTCTGGGAAAAATATATTTATGGTAACTCACATTGCAAGTGACCATGTTGATCATTTACATTGTGACAACAGCTTACTTTTGACTAGGGGTTGAAGCTTCTAGAATATTTTTTCTTCTTCAAATATTGGAACGGTTTTTAATTAATTGCATTCTATGGTCATGTGGTCTAACGCCCAGATTGCTTAGAAGTGTGAAAGGGTATGCTTCATTCATTCACCGTCATTCATTCACTCATTCAACAAAAATAGGCTGGGTACCTCTATGTGCCAGGGCACTGAAATCAATAATAGCTAACACGAATTTACCATTTATTATATGCTATCGAATGTATAAATAATCTTATTTGTTTACTTTTTTTTTGAGATCGAGTCTCGCTCTGTCACCCAGGCTGGGTGCTGTGGTGTGATGTTGGCTCATTGAAACCTCCGCCTCCAGGGTTCTAGCAATTCTTCCACCTCAGCCTCCTTAGTAGCTGGGACTACAGGTGTGCGCCATGATACCCAGCTAATTTTTGTATCTTTTTGTAAACACGAGGTTTCACCATGTTGGCCAGGCTGGTCTCAAACTCCTGGCCTCAATTGATTCACCTGCCTCGGCCTCCCAAGGTGCTGGGATTACAGGTGTTAGCCACCACACTTGGCCACGCTTTTTATTTTATTTCATTTTCACAAATGTCTTCTGATGTTCTGTTATGATGATTATTAGGCTGATGAAGAAATTTAAAGAGTTTAAGCAACTTAACCAAGAACACATCGCTATTAAGTGGTACAGTGGGATATGAATTCAAACAGAGTGGGTCTGGGCTCAAACTGCCTGCCTGCCTAGCTCTCAAATACGATGTAGTCCACTTCTCCCCCACAGGGAGCTTACAGAGCGATATAAGATTATTGATTCCCTTAAGTGGGATTTGTGATTCCAAATATCTCATTAAGACCAACGGAACTTTCAGAATTTAGTAATATATGTGGCTACCCCAGCTAAACCTTAACTCAAAACTTAAGTTAAAGTTGCATTGCAGTAGTTTCAACATAGGAAAGCAAAGATCATTAATTTGGGTGGGAGTGTCCTGAAATATTTTTCTCTGAGGTTTATAGAGTGGCAGAATGTGAGTAATATTTTATATTTTATACTCCTTTCCCTCAGTGCTTGATATAAATCTTCTATAATTTTTCATTGAATGTATTCTGCTGTGCTCATTATCCTAGTGAAGAATTATATGTCCCAAATTTATGATGAGAATGAAGTAATCATATCCTAGTCACGTGTAGTTCCAAAGAATCCTGAAACCTGGCTATGAATGTTTTCACTTATAATTAAAACCTCATTGTTGTCTTCATATTCTACTATAGTTTTTCATCCTCTACAAACACTAATCTCTTGTGTCTGTGGGGCTGATACTCATTTCACTCGTATTGCTGCCATGCTGCCAAGGAGACATGTGAGTATTGATAGGTCTCCCCGCCCTGGTCTGTATTTACAGCTAGGACAGAGTGAGCAGATTCTGAACCTCAGTGTGGATGCCAGTTTGAAGACCTTTGCAACACTACCACCCTGAAATGTGGAGAAATGCTGAGAGCCTGAATTATAAATCATCACAATAATAATAGAACAGAGACAGATTTGGGGATATATTGAAGGCAGACCCTACAGCTGAGTTCCAGCTAACTGTGAGTGTAAATACATTCATATCTGAATAAAAACAGTCTTTTTTTTTTTCTGAATCAAACAGGGCAGAGGTTTTGCTACACAACTACCCCTACATGAAATGACTAGGTGGCAACATAAAATTCAATCAATCATGTTTTTCTTTAAAAATGTTCAACAATTTTTTGTATTTTGTTATCTCTAATTTTTCCTGCTTTAGTTCATTTTTTTACAATATCATTAGAGCCCTTTCTAAGATGTTGATCAAATTGATTTCTACTCCTTAAAAACTTCTAATGACTCATTACCTACAGCATAAAATTCAAAGGTCCTTAGCATGGAATACAATACCTTTTATAATAAGGCCCCATCAGAATTCTTCCACCTGGACAAATCCCCTCTTCCCTTCCTTCTCCTATTCCCTTCTCATATCGTACACATCCTACATACCAGCCCCCCAGAATTTCAGAGAGTCCCTGAAGACACCAGGCTGTTTGAAATCTTAGTCTTAGTGTCTTAGTCTGTTTTCTGTTGCAATAACAGAGTATCAGGAGGATTTTTAGTCTACTGGGAAGTGGAAGCATGAACAAATGTATACACTCAAAAGTACTAAGTACGAAGTAAAACAGAGTCTGTTTTCTGTTGCAATAACAGAGTAACAGGAGGATTTTTAGTCTACTGAGAAATGGAAGCATGAACTAATGTATATGCTCAAAAGTAGTAAGTGATATACCAAATATTTAAGCAGTAGCTGTGACTGCTCAGTGCAGGGAGCTACTTATTCTCTCCAGGAAAAGTGAAGAAAGCTTCATAATAGAGAGCCACATGGGTCTTGTCATGAGAATGGGTGTTTTCAGTGACAGAAGAAAAGTCATTGTAAGCTGAGAATAGCTTGGTAATAGTTATTGTCTATTATGAGAATAGCTTGGTAATAGCAGAGAATAGACTGGGTAATCTGTAAAGAAAATAAGTGTATTTCTCACAGTTCTGGAGATGGGAAGTCCAAGAGCACGGCTCCAGCATCTGGTGAGGGACTTTGTGCTATACCATAACATGGTGGAAAAGAAATGGGTACACAAGACAGAGGGAGGCACCAGTGGTCAGACTCTCTTTACAAGAACACACTCTCACAATAACTAACCTGCTCATGTGACAATAACATTTATCCAATCATCTCTTATTAGTAGAGATCTAATTATCTCTTATTAGAACCCATTTCATAACATTGTTGCATTGGAAATTAAGCTTCCAACATAGAAACTTATTGAGACACATTCAAACCATAGCAAGCTATCGTCTGCTTAAAACGATTTCTCTTCTTTCATTGAAAACAGCCATTCTCATGACAAGACCCTCGTGGCTCTCTATTATGAAGCTTTCTTCACTTTCCCTCGAGAGAATAAGTAGCTCCCTGCACTGAGCAGTCACAACTGTTGCTTAAACATTTGGTATATCACTTAGTACTTTTGAGCGTATACATTTGTTCCTATTTCCATTTCTCATTAGACTAAAAACCCACCTAGGTTATTATTTTGCTTTATTCACTCTGTATTTCCAGGGCCCCCATCACAATAGAAGATGATTAATGAATGGAAAATTAATTAATGAATGTATTTCCTCTTGCTTTACTTTTAGAACTCCTTATCCATGTAATGACCGTGACGAAAACAACGCCTTTGAGGGAGAAGGTGAAAGTGCTGTCTTTATGCTCCACCCTCCAGTGAAGCTTTACTCTGTCTGTCCACAAGTCCCTACATAATAATTTCATTGCAGAACTTATCGTCCTAAGAGGTAGTGGAGTAGGAAGAAAAGAGAAGCAGCCAATAAATAAAGTGGGTTTTCCACTAATCTGTCAGTTCCATCATTACTGAAAGTCGATTTTCATGTTTTTGGTCTTTCCCCCTGAGCCCACTGAGAAAAAATAACTTTTATAAAAGAGCAGTGATCTGTGATCCCGAGTGGCCTTAATTTAGATAAAGAATACCTTTTAGCAGCTGACAGTTATACGTGCTCAGGTTCCCAGTTGAACTCAACTGCATCCAGTTTCCTCTTGGGTGGTAGCTCATATTTATAACTTTAAACAGCTCATAGGGAGGGATCAAGACTTTCTTCTCGAGGGAGAAGTATTGTACAGGTGCGCCCTGGCAGGTGAATATAGAAAATAGTGTCTGGTTCCCAAACTCCTGTGCGTCTTCTTTTAGGAGGGATGTGGAGAGGAATTGGCCAAATCGAATGGTGGCCCCTGTGTAGGCGTTGAAGTGGACATCCTTCATCGCATAATACACCTCATAGCACGGGGTGCCATTCTTCATGAAGCTGTCTGTCCTCAGCAGCTGGATTGCCGTGGTCAGGTAGTAGTGTAAATATTTGAAGTGGAATGAATGTTCGTATTGCTGTGGAGTCCGGGCAGCATAGGCCATGGCTCTAGTGAGGTTAGAACGAACACTGCTGTTCAATGTATAAAACAAAATAGCCACAGCATGTGTGGTAGTCATGTTCTGGGGGAGGACTTTTCCTCCCAGGTTAAGCCACGTTAAGTGGGCTTTTTGCCACATCCCAAAGTAATTCTTCTGGGATTCTATGTCTTTGGTGAAATAATCCCCTTGAATGAGTTTCTCCATAACCTGTTCGCTACAGCCTTGGTACTGATCATCAAAGGAACCTGGTGCGAAGTCAAAGTCGATTTTTATTGCAACCTATAAGAAAAGAAGAATCTTGACTTTAGATTTTCGAGTCAGATGGTGAATGTGGTTGCAGATTTGCTGTACTCTATAAGGCCAAGCGTTCTCCTGGAAACAAATATTTGCTGAAGCAAGTTTCGCTCAGAATCATTACACTGTTCCAGTCCTTCCTGCACCAGTGACTTGTGCTAGAGATTGAATTTGGTTTGATAAATAAATTACTGAAAGATTGAAAAACTCATCTCTCCGGAGAGGAAGTAAGTCTTTTAATATCACTAAAATCACAGAATTTTTGCATACTAAGTACTTTGAAGAAAACATTTATAATCTTATAGTTGAATCATACTTTCTGTTTCCTCTACTTCCCCCCCTTTCTATCCCATCACTGGTGTTTTCAAAAATATCTCTTTTAGGAATGCCCAAAACCTATATTAAATTCTTGAACTTCATCCTTAAACTCTGAGTAGTACTAGGTTCTCCAAGGGTGGTTCTCATAAGTAACAACCTTCTTGTCTTCCCAGGTTCTGAAAACATTGAGAATAAGAATGGCAAAATATGAAAGCCAAAATATCTGTTTCCCACTGAATGGGTCACATCGTTAGGTCTGATGGCAACTGGCTTGTTAAGAGCAAATTCCAGAACAGGACTGACTCATTTGCAGGCAGTACTGGACTAGGGCCTGCCCAGGTAAGATTCTTGTCATTTGGGAACAGAGAACTGGTGCCCTTTGCCATCAGGCTAACCCCCAGGAGGAAGAGCAGCAGAGCCAACTTCAGCACACCCAGTTGTTTTTCCCCATGAGTCAAGTACATTTGTCCACTTCGGGGACAACATAGTGAGTAAAGAGTTGGACAGCAGTCAGGAATGTGCCTAGGAAAGTCTCTCCCCTCCTGGAAAAGAACATTCCTTTCTAATGGGTAGCTAAGAGAATGTTATTTGTTGATGTCTAGTGCATGCTAAACTGAAATGACAGATTTGAATAGAAGTCCACTAAGTATCATCAGTCCATCATTTAGAGCCATATGTAATTATACAAATTCTAAAACATTTCTTTCTTGACAAAGAAATAATGTGTTTCTAGTAAACAGTATTCATTAAGGGACATGTTACAGGGTCACATTCCATCTAGTCAATGTTAAGGATGTTGGAACTCGAACTTTTGGTATTTCCATTGTGTTATTTACGATGACACATCAGCTCGTTGTGTGTAAAACAGAACACATTTTTAAGACTGATTAAATGATTTTAACCAATAACTCTCCACGGTAGGTTTTAAAATAGGTCTCCAGAATCTATTGAAGCCGAGCCAAGCCAAACCAAACCAAACCAATATCATGTTCTGTCACCTGTCATGAGAGACTTGGTTAATATGTTACTAGATCTCAAATATGTACTCTGTCATCTCTTAACATTAGGTTGCTTTTTGTTACAAAGATCTTTACATTAAAATACTTAAAACTTGAGTCAATCTGTATGAGAAAGTTCAAAGCCAAATAGAATTGGTTTATTTTGCATTGTTTGAACTATAGAAGCAATATTTTACTTAATTTTTATAGTGGATCAAGAAAATATGCCACTAGCATCCATAAGGTCAAGTTTACAAATGATGAAGGATTCTACAATTTTTCATAATTGTTTTCAACACTCTTTACTAACACGATTTGTTAAGCTGTCTGAATCTGAATGAAACTGAATTCCGAATGCCTAAGTGTTGGGCCGTTTAAAGGCTATGGCCCGGTGAATGTTCTGTTGGAGCACTGATCATAAAGAGACCACCTCCTCAATTGTCCTCCTACCTCAGAACTCTCTGTGGGTCTCTGCAGGCCAGAGAGGAGCAGCAGGAACGGCAGCAGGCCTCTGAGGAGCCAGATTCTCATCACCGCAGGAGCTGCAGTAGTTGGGAGAAGAATCTTAATTCTGTTGATCAATGGACCGCATTTGCTTGTATCACAAGAACGTCTCCGTTGCCCTTGCAGCTTCATCCTGAGATGAACTCTCAGAGTTCTCCTCTGAGGTTTTCTTTCAATCTCAGCAGGAATGTTTTTTGCTCCTGTCTATGTTGAGCAGCTTCGGTTGGCCACCAACAATCACTAGCTTATCTGAGGGAAGAAATCAACTCCAACTTCTTTGCAAAACTGATCTCTGAAATAGCCAGATGCGCACACCAAATAAGGGTTTCTAAAGTGAACCCAAGGTACTTTTCAATGAAAAAAAAAATTCTCTGATCTAGTCTGTATTTAGGGGAATGCCAAAGTCCTGTTAAGTGTCAGATTCAGCAGTTCCCAGCCAAACAGGAAAAAGCATGCTCTGTCCAGCGTTTGGGGCCAAGCAGCATTATCTGGAGCCCCAGGCTTCCATCGAAACTGATAAGATTGGCATGCACAGGGCAGCTGGGAATGTGCCATCTCAAGGTGGGCGTCTACAGGCGCCTCTGGTGCTGTCGATAGGCCCTGCCCAGGACAGACTGTCAGAGAAAAGTCTCTTTTGGGGTTATTGTAAAAAAGAAGGCTCTTTTTACTGCTTTTCCCTGGCACCTTTGAAACTCTCCAATCCAGAGATTGTACCTCTGGGTTCAAAGCTCTTCCCCTGTTTTCATTTCTGAGGATATCAGGCCCTCTGTCCAGACGATTCCAGTCTCCAGTGAATCCTAATGATGACTGCCAGGAGACTGCCCATGTAGAGCTGACGTATGTCAAAATAGGGTCCAGTGTGCAAACTTAATCCAGCACAGGAGTTCTATTAAGACCTTTTAGGTACTACCCTTTCTAGTCTGAACATTCTTCCTGTCTTCCCAACTCTTCATATAATTCTATTTTCTTGCAAATATTTTGTATTTCTTCTTCTGGATTCATTATTTAAGAAACTAAAAGTTAGCCGCCCTTGATAATTGTTTTTCTTGCAAATATTTACTTCTGGATTCAATATTTAACTTTTAAGGTAAACTAAATGCTGTTCTTAAGTATTCTAGTATTTCTTGGCACCCTAAATATTTTTTAATCTAAATTTTCTGATGATCACAGCAGTTTTGTCTCATTAACAAGCATTCAGAATATTTAGAAAGCATAAAGGAGAAAAAATTACATATAACCCATCACTTGGAGATAGGCACTAATAAGGTCTGGATTTATACACATATGTTTCTAGAACTGAAGTAATATAATATGCAGTTTTGCATACTGTTTATTCCCCTGAATAAATGCATGCAAGTCTTTATATAATTTCGTACCTATTGAAACGTATTTTTAAAAAAGTTTCACTATATTTCATTATATAGGTGCTACCACATGAATCCATGGATCGATGCATGGACTGTACAGTCTCAGAAACAGATCGATTAGTGACTCTTGAATAAGACATCTCAGTTCAGTTTCTGGTGCTCCCTCTTCTTTAATGTGTGATCTTGGATGAGCTGCTCAACCTCTCCGTTTCTCTGTTTCCTCGTGTGTTGGAGATAATAATAGTATCAACTTTATTTTAATGTTGATATATTCATAACCCATAGAACAGTATCTGGCAACTAGAAATTGTCCAATAAATAAAAAATAATTATTATTTACACCAAAGTATATTTAATAAATATATTATATTTAGCTTGTTTTCAACTACATAAATCTTTGTGTGTTTCTCAGAATTTTCTTTTCTAGTAGCCTTTTTTTTTTTTGAAATTATACTTTAAGTTCCTGGGTAATGTACAAAATGTGTAGGTTTGTTACATAGGTATAATGTGCAATGGTGGTTTGCTGCACCCATCAACCTGTCATCTACAGTAGGTATTTCTTCTAATGCTATCCCTCCCCTAGTCCCCACCCCTCCAACAGGCCCCAGTGTGTGATGTTCCCCTCCCTGTGTCTATGTATTCTCATTGCTTAACTACCACTTATGAGTGAGAACATGTGGTGTTTGGTTTTCTGTTCTTGTATTAGTTTGCTGAGAATGATGGTTTCCAGCTTCATCCATGTCCCTCCAAAGGACATGAACTCATCCTTTTTTATGGCTGCATAGCATTCCATGGTGTATATGTGCCACATTTTCTTTAAACAATCCATCACTGATGGGCATTTGGGTTGGTTCCAAGTCTTTGCTATCAGGAACAATGCCACAATAAACATACGTATGGATGTGTCTTTATAGTAGAATGATTTATAATCCTTTGGGTATATATCCAGTAATGGGATTGCTGGGTTAAATGGTATTTCTGGTTCTATATACTTGAGGAATTGTCACACTGTCTTCCATAATGGTTGAACTAATTCCAATCAACACTGTAAAAGCGTTCCTAGTTCTCCACATCCTCTCCAGCATCTGTTGTCGCCTGACTTTTTATTGATTGCCATTCTAACTGGCATGAAGTGGTATCTCATTGTGGTTTTGATTTGCATTTCTGTAATGACCAGTGATGATGAGCTTTTTTCATATGTTTTTTGGCTATATAAATGTCTACTTTTGAGAAGTGTCTGTTCATATCCTTTGCCCACTTTTTGATTTTTTTTTCTTGTAAATTTGTTTCAGTTCTTTGTAGATTCTGGATATTAGCCCTTTGGCAAATGGATAGATTGCAAAAAATTTTCTCCCATTCTGTAGATTGCCTGTTCATTCTGATGATAGTTTCTTTTGCTCTACGGAAGCCCTTTAATTTAATTAGATCTCATTTGTCAATTTTGGCTTTTATTGCCTTTGCTTTTGGCGTTAGTCATAAAGTCTTTTCTCATGCTTGTGTCCTGGATGGTAATGCCTAGGTTTCTTCTAGGGTTTTTATGGTTTTAGGTCTTATGTTTAAGTCTTTAATTCATCTTGAGTTAATTTTTGTATAAGGTGTAAGGAAGGGGTCCAGTTTTAGTTTTCTGCATATGACTAGCCTGTTTTCCTAACACCATTTATTAAATAAGGAATCCTTTCCCCACTGGTTGTTTTTGTCAGGTTTGTCAAAGATCAGATGGTTGTAGATGTGTGGTGTTATTTCTGAGGCCTCCATTCTGTTCCACTGGTCTATATATCTGTTTTGTTACCATGATGTTTTGGTTACTGTAGACTTGTAGTATAGTTTGAAGTCTGGTAGCGTGATGCCTCCAGGTTTGTTCTTTTTGCTTAGGATCATCTTGGCTATGTGGGCTCTTTTTTTGGTTTCATAAGAGATTTAATATAGTTTTTTCTAATTCTGTGAAGAAAGTCAATTGTAGCTTGATGGGGATAGCATTGAATCTATAAATTATTTTGGGCAGTATGGCCATTTTTACAATATTGATTCTTCTTATCCAGGAGCATGGAATGTTTTTCCATTTGTTTGTGCCCTGTTTTATTTCCTTGAGCAGTGGTTTATAGCTCTCCTTGAAGAGGCCCTTCACATTCCTTGTAAGTTTTATTCCTAGGTATTTTATTCTCTTTGTAGCAATTGTAAATGGGAGTTCACTCATGATTTGTCTATCTGTTTGTCTTTTACTGGTGTATAGCAATACTTGTTATTTTTGCACATTAATTTTGTATCCTGAGACTTTGCTGAAGTTTCTTACCAACTTGAGATTTTGGACTGAGACAATGGGGTTTTCTATATATGCAATCATGTCATCTGCAAACAGAGACAATTTGACTTTCTGTCTTCCTATTTGAATACTCTTTCTCTCTCTTGAAAAATTCAGGCCTGATTGCCCTGGCCAGAACTTCTAATACTATATTGAATAGGAGTGGTGAGAGAGGGCATCCTTGTCTTATGCCAGTTTTCAGAGTGAATGCTTCCAGTTTTTGCACGTTCAGTATGATATTGGCTGTGGGTTCATAAGTAGCTCTTATTATTGTGAGATATGTTCCATGAAGACCTAGTTTATCTGAGCTTTTAGCATGAAGTGATGTTGAATTTTATTGAAGGCTTTTTCTGCCTCTATTGAGATAATCATGTGATTCTTGTCATTGGTTCTATTTATGTGATAGGCTACATTTATTGATTTGCATATGTTGAACCAAGCCTTGCATCCCAGGGATGAAGCTGACTTGATCGTGATTGACAAGTTTTCGATGTGCTGCTGGATTTGGTTTGCCAGTATTTTATTGAGGATTTTTGCATCGACGTTCATCAGGGATATTGGCCTGAAATTTTCTTTTTTTGTTGTTGCATCTCTGCCAGGTTTTGGTATTAGAATGATGCTGGCCTCATAAAACAAGTTAGGGAGGGGTCCCTTTTTTCTATTGTTTGGAATATTTTCAGAAGTAATGGCACCAGCTCCTCTTTGTACTTCCGGTAGAATTTAGCTGTAAATCCATCTGGCCCTGGACTTTTTAAATTACTGCCTCAATTTCAGAACTTGTTATTGGTCTATTCAAGGATTCGACTTCTTCCTGATTGAGACTTGGGAGGGTGTATGTGTACAGGAATTTATCCATCTCTTCTGGATTTTCTAGTTTATTTGTGTAGAGATGTTTATAGCATTCTCTGATGGTAGTTTGTATTTCTGTGGGATCAATGGTGATATTCCCTTTATCATTTTTTTATTGCATCGATTTGATTCTTCTCTCTTTTCTTCTTTATTAATTTGGCTAGTGGTCTATCTATTTTGTTGGTCTATTCAAAAAGCAGCTCATGGATTTACTGATTTTTTTGAAGGGTTTGTGTGTGTGTGTGTGTGTGTGTGTGTGTGTCTATCTGTCTATCTCTTTCAATTCTGCTCTGATCTTAGTTATTTCTTGTCTTCTGCTAGCGTTTGAATTTGTTTGCTCTTGCTTCTCTAGTTCTTTTAATTTTGATGTTAGGGTGTCGATTTTAGATCTTTCCTGTTTTCTCTTGTGGGCACTTAGTGCTGTAAATTTCCCGCTAGACACTGCTTTAGCTGTGTCCCAGAGATTCTGGTACGTTGTGTCTTTGTTCTCATTGGTTTCAAAGAACTTCTTGATTTCTGTCTTCATTTTTTGATTTACCCAGTAGTCATTCAGGAGCAAGTTGTTCAGCTTCCATGTAATTGTGTGGTTTTGAGTGAATTTCTTAATCCTGAATTCTAATTTGATTGCACTGTGGTCTGAGAGACTGTTTGTTATGATTTCCATTCTTTTGCATTTGCTGAGGAGTGTTTCACTTCCAAGTATGTGGTTAATTTTAGAATAAAGTGTGATGTGGTGCTGGGAAGAATGTATATTCTGTTCATTTGGGGTGGAGAGTTCTGTAGCTGTCTATTAGGTACACTTGGTCCAGAGCTGAATTTAAGTCCTGAATATCCTTGTTAATTTTTGGTCTTGTTGATCTGTCTAATACTGACAGTGGGATGTTAAATTCTCCCACTATTATTGTGTGGGAGTCTAAGTCTCTTTGTAGCAATCTGAGTCTCTTTGTTGCAATCTAAGAACTTGCTTTATGAATCTGGCTGCTCCTGTGTTGGGTGCATATATATTTAGGATAGTTAGCTCTTCTTGTTGCATTGACCTTTACCATTATGTGATGCCCTTCTTTGTCTTTTTGATCCTTGTTGGTTTAAAGTCTGTTTTATTAGAGACTAGGATTGCAACTCTTGCTTTTTATTTGCTTGGTAAATCTTCCTCCATCCCTTTATTTTGAGCACACCAATGGGTCTTGACTCTTTATCCAATTTGCCAGTCTGTGTCTTTTAATTGGGGCATTTAGCCCATTTACATTTAAGGTTAATATTATGTGTGAATTCGATCTTGTCATTATGATACTAGCTGGTTATTTTGGCCGTTAGTTGATGCAGTTTCTTCATAGTGTTGATGGTCTTTACAATTTGTTTTGTTTTTGCAGTAGCTGGTACCAGTTGTTCCTTTCCATTTTAGTGCTTCCTTCAGGAGCACTAAAGGCAGGCCTGACAAAATCTCTCAACATTTGCTTGTCTGTAAAGAATTTTATTTTTCCTTCACTTATGAAGCTTAGTTTGGCTGGATATGAAATTTTGGGTTGAAAAATTCTTTTCTTTAAGAATGTCGAATATTGGCCCCCACTCTCTTCTGGCTTGTAGAGTTTCTGCTAAAAGAGCTACTGTTAGTCTGATGGGCTTCCCTTTGTGGGTAATGTGACCTTTCTCTCTGGCTTCCCTTAACATTTTTCCTTCATTTCAATCTTGGTAAATCTGATGATTATGCATCTTGGGGTTGCTCTTCTCAAGGAATATCTTTGTGGTGTTCTCTGTATTTCCTGAATGTGTATGTTGGCCTGTCTTGCTAGGCTGGGGAAATTCTCCTGGATAATATCCTTAAGAGTGTTTTCCAACTTGGTTCCATTCTCCCTGTCACTTTCAGGTACACCAATCAAATGTAGGTTTGGTTGTTTCATATAGTTCCACGTTTCTTGGAGGCTTTGTTCATTCCTTTTTTCTCTAATCTTGTCTTCATGCTTTATTTTATTATGTTGATCTTCAGTCTCTGATATCCTTTCTTCCACTTGATCAACTTGGCTATTGATACATATATATGCTTCACAAAGTTCTGATGCTGCGTTTTTCAGCTCCATCAGGTCATTTATGTTCTTCTCTAAACTGGTTAGTCTAGTTAGCAATTCCTCTAACCTTTTTTTAAGGTTCTTAGTTTCCTTGTGTTGAGTTAGAACATGCTCCTTTAGCTCAAAGGGGTTTGTTATTACCCACCTTCCGATGCCTGCTTTTGTCAATTCATCAAACTCATTCTTGATCCAGTTTTCTTCCCTTGCTGGCAAGGAGTTGTGATCATTTGGAGGAGAAGAGGTGTTCTGGTTTTTGGAATTTTCAGCCTTTTTGTGTTGGTTTCTCCCCATCTTTGTGGATTTATCTACCATTGGTCTTTGATGTTGGTGACCTTTGGATGGGTTTTCTGAGTGGATATTCTTTTTGTTGACATTGATGCTATTCCTTTCTGTTAGTTAGTTCTCCTTCTAACAGTCAGACCCCTCTGCTGCAGGTCTGCTAGAGTTTGCTGGAGGTCCACTTCAGACCCCGTTTGCCTGGGTATCACCAGTGGAGGCTGCAGAACAGCAAGGATTGCTGCCTATTCCTTCCTCTGGAAGCTTCGTCCCGGAAGGGCACCCTTAGATGCCAACCAGAGCTCTCATGTATGAGGCGTCTGTCGGCCCCTGCTGGGAAGTCTTTCCCAGTCAGGAGACATGGGGGTGAGGGACTCATTTGAGGAGGCAGTCTGACCCTTAGCAGAGCTCGAGTGCTATGCTGGGAGATCTACTGGACAGAGTCGGCAGGCAGGGGCATTTAAGTCTGCTGAAACTGTGCCCACAGCTGCCCCTTCCCCCATGTGCCCTGTCTCAGGGAGATGGGAATTTTATCTATAAGCCTTTTTGGTCAGAGACACGCTGCGCAGAGAGGAGGACTTGAGAGAGGAAGTCTGGCTCTGGCAACGTTGCTGAGCTGGGGGGCGGGTGGGGGGGTTGGGGGGGTGGGGGGAGTGTCCCGCCCAGCGCCCCGCCCAGCGCCCCGCCCAGCTCCCCGCCCAGCTCCCCGCCCAGCGCTCCGCCCAGCTCCCCGCCCAGCTCCCCACCCAGCGCCCCGCCCAGCGCCCCGCCCAGCTCCCCGCCCAGCGCTCCGCCCAGCTCCCCGCCCAGCGCCCCGCCCAGCTCCCCGCCCAGCTCCCCGCCCAGCGCCCCGCCCAGCGCCCCGCCCAGCTCCCCGCCCAGCGCTCCGCCCAGCGCCCCGCCCAGCGCCCCGCCCAGCTCCCCGCCCAGCGCCCCGCCCACCCGGAACTGTGCTGAGCTGGGGAGGGCTCCGCCCAGCCGGAACTTCCCTCCGGATGGCTTGGTTTGCACCAGGCGGGGAAAACCACCTACTCAAGCCTCAGTAATGGCAGACACCCCTCCCCGCACCAAGCTCAAGCATCCCAGGTCAACCTCAGACTGTTGTGCTGGCAGTGAGAATTTCAAGCCAGTGGATCTTAGCTTGCGGGGCTCCATGGGGGTGGAATCTGCTGAGCTAGATCACTTGGCTCCCTGGCTTCAGCCCCCTTTCCAGGGGAGTGAACGGTTCTGTCTCGCTGGCATTCCAGGCACCACAGGGCTATGAAAAAACAAGAAGAGGAAGAGGAAGAGGAAGAAGAAGAAGAAGAGAAGAAAAGGAGAAGAAAACAACTCCTGTAGCTAGCTCCCTGTCTGCCCAAACGACTGCCCAGTGTTCTGCTTGAATCCCAGGGCCCTGGAGGCATAGGCACCTTGGAATCTTCTGGTCTGTGGAGTGCGAAGACCATGGGAAAAGCATAGTTCTTTACAGCACAGTCCCTCAAAGCTTCCCTTGGCTTGGGAAGGGGGCTCCCTAACACTTTGCACTTCCCGGATGAGGCAACCCCCCCCCCCACCCCGCTGCTTTGGCTTGCCCTCTGTGGGCTGCACCCACCGTCTAACCAGTCCCAATGAGATGAACTGGTTACCTCAGTTGGAAATGCAGAATTCACCTGCCTTCTGCATCCATCTCACTGGGAGCTGCAGACTGGAGATGTTTCTATTTGGCCTTATTGCCAGGTTGATCTCACAACTTTTAAGACGCAGTTCTAGAGATATGATTACTGATCGATCAATGGAATGCATATCTTTCGGATTTCATGTCAACCACTAGCAGTGTGTGAAAATATCCCTTTAAGACGTTAAAAATTCTTTAGTTTCCTTATTAGCAACTGTTACTTTGGGATATTGAAATGTCATTTAAAGGACTAGAATTAGAGTCTGAAAATCTGAATTACAAGTTGAGTTGTACCCACGATGCTGGCAGAGCTAACTTAAAAAATTAATAATTTGTGCTTAGTCTCAGTTTTCTTAACCTTATAAAAGTTGTCAGGCTTAAATAAGGTAAAACTTTTCTTTTATTGAGAAAGTACTGTACTTAAGACCCTTTTGCATATTATCTCAACCCACAGAACAACCACGAGATATTTTAACCTTTCCTTTACAAATATGATTTCTGACTCCCTGTGAAGTTGAATAACTTTTGAGTAATCACCGGTACTTTTCTGTCCCGTGAAGCCCATGATCTTAAAACACTTTAAAAGAGTATGAGTGTAATTTTATTATTATCTGCAATAAAGGTTTTGCTAATTTTTCCTATTGTGACTGCCATTTCCAGGATAGGACCACTGGAGGGCAGCAGAAAACTTTGTAACCTTTTATACCACTCAGAACAAAAAACAGAATGGAGGAAGGGGCAGGAATGGCCGGGGTGGGGGTGAGGGTGCCGAGTGGTGAGAGAAAAAGAGAATGGGGCAGTGAGCAGGAAAGGGAGTCGAAGAGGGAGGGAGGGAGGGAGGGAGAGAGAGAGAGAGAGAGAGAGAGAAAACAACTGGGGTAGGGAAAGGCCCAAGGTCTGGTGTATATGTGAACATATTTGAATTAAAATGAAAAAAAAAAAATGTTTTCAGACAATGTTTGGAGTCAATAAAAAAACTATTTTTGCCTTGACGACTATCTGTCTTATTAAGATTCTCAGGTAACAGTTTAATATTAGAGTTTGAAGTGCATTCAGTTACCATGTAATGAAACCTGCTTCCTCAGGATGCCGTCTGTGCTGTCTCGATGGGTTGGGATGTGAGTTTTGAAGCAGCACAGACCTGTGTTGGAATTTCACCTCCATGACCTCCTCGCTTCGTGGGTTTCAACAAGTGACATTAATTCTCGGTTTCATTTCCTTCATATGTAAACGTCGAGGTGGTAACAGCAGTCTTGCAGAGCTCTGTTCACAATGAAATGGAAGACCAGCAACTCCTAGCGTGCCCAGCACAGTGGAAGGTAATTTTTATTTTTTTAAGCAGCTGTTTAAGAAGAGGTTTTGCTAATTTTCCAGATCCATTTTCTGGAATAAATTCTAGACATTCCAGACTAATTTTCTAAAGCTTCTTTTAGAGAATGGGTGGCAGTACTCACTAGAAGGGCCTTGCCCGGGGAGGAAATCTGTCTTCTGCTGCCAGCCTTCAGGTTTGGCAATGACCTTTGGTAGTTCCTGTTTGGATCTTGTTGAACTTCTTCAGATCTGTGTCTGAATTTAATAGGAGTGTTTATTGCCAGAAGTCCTCGTTATCCACAGGAAAGTCCTTTGATTACGACCCCAATATTTGGTAGGTCGAATGGGTTTGTTATCTATGTGTTAACAGATCAGTTCCTCCTTAATTCTTAACACTCTTACAGAAGTGAGCAACGCTCCCTCAGTTATTTCACATGCTTATAACTTTTTACTTAGATAACATTTCATGCTTACACAAAGGTGAAAGATTAGAAGGAATTCTGATACACTATCCACATTCATCAGCTGTGAATATTTTATCCCAATGGCTCTGTCATTCTCTCTTTTTCTAAACAACATGCTTGAGCATAAGTTGCAGGCATCTGCTCTTTTACCTTAAATACCTCAGCATTTATTTCATAAAAACAAGTACATTCTGTTATATAACCACAGTTATCTACAAATATCATTTATATAACATCATTCATCCATAGCTCATATTCAAGTGTATTAACTGTTCCTATAACGTCCTTTATGGCTCTTCCCAGGACCACAATTTGCACTTAGTTGTGTTGGAATTTTACCTCCATCATAGTCTCTGTAGTCTCTTTAAGCTGCAATACTTCCTCAGTGTTTATTTTGCCTTTTGACCTGGACACGTTTGAAAAGCATTGGTCAGTTATTTGTGGAATGTCTGTCAATTGGGGCTTGCACATTATTTCCTGGTAATTAGATTCAGATTGCGCAGTTCTGGCAGGGAAATCGCAGGGCGATGTTTTACCATTCTCAGGAGACATTTGGATCTATTGTTTCAATACATTTTGCAATAACAGTTATTAAAGCAATTGCTTTATTATAGTATCTGGTGCTTGGGTATATATCAATCATCAGATCATGTTATTTGCCCTTTCTTTTTCTCACTTTTTTTTTTAAAAGCATAGGATCTTAGTGTCAGGAAAGAGCTTTGTTTTCCTTATCTTCCCCCTGCCCCTACTCCTCTGTGAATCTCCTCCTCAACAATCCTGTGAGAGCAACTTCTGCTGCATGTGCCCTCACAACAGCTAGCTTTCTATAAGTGCTTGTTGAATGAATGAGTGAATGAATAAATGCTTCCAAATTTCAGTAGCTGGGGTACCATACCCAAGAAGGCCATTTGTTCTGGGAGAGACAGAGCAGAATTCCCAGTGGTCCATAAGAGGTTCTGAGGCCCAGGCTCACAGAAAAGACATTTGCCCAAGGACTGTGGCTGAGTCTGTCCACAATTCTGGGGCCACAGTGGGCAGCAGCAGAAGATCTGACATAACTCCAGGACCATCTCAGCACTTGGTAGGGCAGAGCCATTGGGAATACCAGGTGAGTGAGTAGCCATCGATTCACACATTTGAAAATGACATATTTGCTGAGCATGAGCTGTGCATGGGGCTCTGCGGATTCAGCCACATCCAACTAGATATGGTCCCAGGGTTCTCGGAACTTAGATCTGTCCGTTTTGAAGGTCAGCTCATGGTCGGGGGCCTGGCAGTTAGAAGGAGATTTTGGCAAAAAGCTCCATTTCCCAAAGGAAATTAAAAAAGAGAGAGCACTAGTCACATATTCGATAGATAATGGGGATTAGAAATGGAGTGTTAATTTCCAAATCATCCATTTTTAGTGGAGAATAGAAGTTCTAAAATTTTCAAGGCGTGGTGAGGACTGAGAGAACCGGAGGTTACTTACATTTCTAGGGAGGATTACTTCTCTGGGATCACAGCTTCTCGATGAAAAGAGCAGTGACTGAGAGGACACAGCATCCAATGCCAGGGCACTGGGCCCTGCTCCCGCTGAGGTCTGAGGGCATGTGGAGCTGCATGTGAGGCAGTTTGCACACAGGGCAGGACTGAGCTTTCAGAGGTGGAATGAGTGGGCCCATCTATGGGAAACAAGGTGGCAGAAACGGGAGATTAAGCAAGGGAAGAGCAGCACGATGACATGAGCACCTCTGCAGTCCCTTAGTGAACTTCCCTACATTTCTATTTGTGTGTGTGTGTGTGTGTGTGTGCATGTGTGCTTGTATGTGTGACAATATAGTTTTTTTGGGGGAAAGTACTGCTTCAAAATCTGAAGCATTTTTCAGCATCTCCACCTCTTTGCCACTGGTTTTGCTCGAGTCCCTGGTAGTTTCTCATGTACGCTGAGCTTGCCAAACTAAAGTTTCTCACCATCAGCAGCAGCAATTCTGTGTTCCATGGATTCGTGGTTGTGAATTTAGTTCTGTACTTACATTAGCTCCCAGACTTAATTTAAAATTAAGCTACATCTCTTTTGGTGTAATGACTTTATATTCAATAATCCTTTGTTTATACATTTCTATTTTGGTCACTAAGAGACATTAAACTGAAGGCCCTTTTCCTGGGTTTTTGTCTGCACCCTGTGTAGTCAAACCTCCTTTTATTTCCACATGTCTCTACTATACTGCACAGAGGGGTATAATTCAGGGAGGATGGACCTTGCTTTTCTCTGGGTAGATCATGGTGAGTAAATGCTTCGTGTGGCTCAGTAATCTGCCTCTCGAAGCTTTTCTAACTTACTATGCCACCAAACACAATAGCTCATGCCCCATTCCCTATTTTCCTGGATCACAAGCTACTCCTTATAAATAAAGTTGACTTCTAGCATCTTCTGTCCTGACTGTATCTTGAACAATTTGTAGCTTCCATTCACTACTAGAAATTGATGGCCCTTCTCCTCCACCCAGCTATTGCCTCTTTGTGAAGGAAGATACAGCCTGGCTTCACTGTCTGTTACTGTTTCTGGGGAGGTGGGAAGAGTGAGCCACCTTTTTATGGATAGAGTGGGTTCCAAATTTATACTATAGCTGTTTTCCTCTTAGGTTTCACAAGTATCTGAAGTTAAATCCATTCTACCACTTTAAACATTAATTTTCTTTTAAAAGAAATCTCTCCTCTGTTCAAGAAATTAATATTATATTCATAAACATAAAATTGGTCATATTCTTGTAAAATTCATAGTCCTGGCTTCATGCTAACAGAATTTTGCTCCTCCCATGCTCTGAGACATGTTACTATCTTCTTGCATTGATTAATAATGAATGGCACAAACATAAATCACATTTCCCTAATCACTACTTTTTTTTCACTGACACGAGATGAAAATGTTTCAGTCTACCTTACCCCAAAAATAACAACATATCAAATAACACTTACTACATCAGTTTCATTGAATCCAAATTTATTCACTATTATTTAAAATGCTTCTGGGCTGCAGGGGCCAAATCTCTCTCATTGCTCTTTTCTCATATTTGAAGATGCCATTCTGTTCCTCCAAGTTTTCCCTTTCCAGACTCAACATTCTGACTCACCTTTTCCTCAGAGGGCGCAGACTATCATCCTGGCCATCTTTCTCCTTCTAAATTCCAGTAAGTCGATGACCCTCGTAAAATGCAGCAACAGGAGACTCCACATGTGTCTAATCTGTGGGACTAAAGGCTTCGTTTGTTCTGCACACTTTCCTTCCACTGATCTTATTGTAACCTAAGGCAAAACAGCTTTTTTGCGGGCAATTATGTCATACTTCGACTCACTGAATTTGTACCTGTTAGTAATCATCAGTCATGACCATATGAACTTCTCTTAGTAGGTCACCAATCCCATGCACCTGTAAAGCTAAAGTAGATTTATCAGGCCCCATTTTAGAACCTTACATTTATGCATAGTAAGCCTCTTTATTTTAACCTGTCGAGTGTACTTCATGAGTCTTCATATCAAGTATATTCTCAATAACTCTTTGTTAAGTTTCATGAAAGAAAACCAGAATATGTTCTTTTTATATCTTCATTCCAAATATTAAAATTAGCACAGGACTAAGTAGAGATTTCTGGCCATGAAAATAAGAATTTTCTTTTCGGTTGAAAATGATGCTGTGGATGAAACAGTTCCGCTTAACGAGGTTTGAACACATAATTCTGCTGATATCTTAATTAGGAAATTCAGCTTGTCATTTGAATTCTAAAGACATTTCTGGTTAAGCATGCGTAATTAAAAAATATCTGTATGCCCTCAGGGAGTCCGGCATTCTTTACTCACTCATAACGCACATCTTAGTCATGTATATTCTCCGCCTGGCTTTTGTAGCCCTTTTGGTTTGCCATCCCTGTCTGAATCATTCTATTTAGGATATAGGAAACGGTAAAGCATGTCATCCCTACCCTAGAAATGAGGAGAAAAGCTATGTAAAGTCACAGATTTTCTTGTATCTGTGAAAAAGCCGAGGTCACAAGTCAACCAGGTTAACTGAATTTCAAAGGGCAACTGGCCATCTGAGGAGAGACAGGGCACATGAATTGCTACATCTTTGTGGACGTGAAGGAGAAAGAGGCAGCTGTCTTAAGAGTGGGTAAAAAAGTAAGCAGCCAAAATTTGAACAAATTCTTAAAGGTCCAGCATATGCTAGTGAGACAGTTCAGAACCTTCTAGAAATCTAGACTAAAGAAGAAGACACTCATTCTCAAACCGTTTTCCATGAGCCTCCCTGGGTAATTCACAAGAAAGAATGGAAAGATTCCTTCTTGGAGATGAAAGCTGTGACAAAGCCTTTGCTGTTCTGTCTGGCTCTGCCCCTGGCAGAGGGCACAGGGCACTTGTCTGTTTCAGGGACCTGCAATCTTACAAAGCTAAGAGGTCAGCTGCCACCAAGGCAGAGTAGAAACTCCATGCAAGACCTTTCTTAGATGAAAGGTGGAGTTTGTTAGTGGGATGAGAAGGGAAGATGGAGGAGGAGGAGGAGTGCTGCGAAGGCCTTGTCCCAAGGCCCAGGAACAAGAGTTCTATCTTAGTTTGAGGCTATTCCAGGGGACCTCCTTCCCCTGCCTTACAGGAAGCCTGACAGCAAGTAAGAAGCAAACAACACTAGACTACTGCAGAGGGAGGTGCATGCTTGTGGAGAGGCATGCCGGGCCTGCTGCAAGCTGAATGCAGAACAGAAACAGAGAAGAGCTCTCAGGTGTCTCAGACTCTGCTATAGACACAAGATAAAAGCAGCCCACAGCTGGAGAATGTTGAAATTGTACACTGAAGGCAACTAGAACCAAACAAAACCCGAACCTAGCTCAACTACTGACTAGATTGAGTCAACTCCCATACTAATTGCCTGAAAGAAGAAATGTGTGTATTTCAGGGTATAGATACCACCTACCTCAGCCTTTATTGCTTTTCTATGCACAGCATGCCATATTCAATAAAAAATTATGGGCCGGGAGTTATAGCTCATGCCTGTAATCCCAGCGCCTCGGGAGGCTGAGATGGGAGGATCACTTGAGGTCAGGAGTTTGAGATCAGCCTGGATAACATAGTGAGACTCCATCTTTGCAATAAAATTAAAAATTAGCCAGCCATGATGGCGTACACCTGTGGTCCCAGCTACTAGAGAGCCAAGGCAGGAGGATCCCTTGAGCACAAGAGGTCAAGGCTGCAGTGAGCTATGATCACATCACTGCGCTCCAACCTGAGTGACAGAGTAAGACTCTATCTCAAAAAAAAAAAAATTATTACACTCACACAGAAAAAGGACAAAGAATCCATTGTCAAGAGATAAAGCAATTCACAGAACCATACTTAGAGATGATCCAGACTGGACCCATTAAACAGGACTTATGACAGTTTGTCAAATTCCTTCCTAAAATTGAGACGTAACATGTCCTAATTTTCCTAATGCAGCTGACATTTTAAGAATCGGTATCTCTAGTTGCCATTTTTTTAAACTTCTTGGAATGTATCATTAGAAACTGGTCTATAATATTCATTAACTTAAATTTCTTCATGCTGATCATCGTGTTTGCTTAATTCTGTGGGTAACACAAACAAAAGATTCAGATCAGGACTTTTTCCTCTTCTTCCTCCTTCTCCTTCTCCTCCTCCTCCTTCTTCTTCTTCTTTTTCTTTTTCTTTATTTTTGAGGTAGGGTCTTGCTTTGTTGCCCAGAATGGAGTGCAGAGATGTGATCACAGCTCACCGCAGCCTCAGGCTATGGGGCTCAAGTCATCTCCTCAGCTCAGCCTCCCAAGTTGCTGGGACTGCAGGCACATGCCACTATGCCCGGTTGATTTTTAAATTTGTTGTAGAGGTGGAGTCTCACTCTGTTGCCCAGACTGGTCTTGAGCTCCTGAGCTCAAGTGATTCTCCCATCTCAGTCTCCCCAAACTACTGGAATTACAGGCATGAGCCACTGCATCCAGGTCTTCAGACTCCAGTCGATGATGATTTGCTCGACGCCATAGTTAGCTGTCGGTGATTTTCCGGAACAGCAATACTGATCAAAGCTAATATTTACTGCTATGAATATTTACATCAGTTATTGTGCTAAGTACTGCACATGTTTTATCTCATTCGATTCCCAGCCACCCTTTTTATAATGATATAATCATTACTCTAAGTGCTGATGAACTGAGGATTAAAGTGACTAAAGTGACTTCCAGCCTTCTTACCCTGTCTCTGCTGTCTTTCGTTTTCCATATCCTGTTGGGGTGAGGTGAGTGGAGAGCTGTTTGTCCCTTTTGTCCTCACTCAGCGTTGATGAGCCCACTGGCCCTGAAATTTATTTTCTGGAAGTGGTGGTATGGGCCTGTTTCTTTTCTTGCTGGCCGACTTTTCTGTTTGGTTCTTGTATAAACTGTAGGACTCAGTGGCTCTTTTCTGATTAAGTTTACTTTTCTTAATTTGACAGCTCAAGTTATAGACCCTCATGTGCAGGGTTGATGATTCTCTGCTCCAGTCCAGATAAATTCCCGACATGGTTTTAGCATGTCTCGGCCAGCCCTATAGAATCTTGATGCTTGACTCTCAAAAAAATTATCTTTTTCAAGTCTCTGCATGATCAAAGGACACAGTTGTTCAGGAGATGGGCAGATTCAGGCTTCAATTCCGATTCTACTTTTTCTAGTCCAACGATTTTGGGCATATTATTTAACATTTCTAAGTCTCGGCTTACACTTCGGAAAATGGAGATAACATTATACCTCTCAAACGGTCATTAGAACCGAATGAACAAAGTTTGTAAAGTGTTTAGGACAGTGTCTGTTACACAGGGAATGCTCACTAAATGGCAATTATTATTATTGTTTTTATTACTATGATTGTTATTCTTTAGAAAGAAGTTGGCTAGACACAAATTGTTACACTCAGTGTTTTTAACCTTATAGGCTAGTCAATCAGATCAGTCACGACCATCTAAATGCACAACAGTTTCCTGACAGGTATCTCTCACTTTTCATATATGCATGTTTTCAGTTGTATTTAATTAGTTCAGTAGCTGCTTAGCAAAGACTTTGGGGAGTGAGATAGATGGGAAAGAGATTTAAGTATTAGATGAGAAGCCTTTACGACTTATTTTCAATTATAAATAAAAAATGTTTAATTGTGTAATTCTTTTTGGTTGTAACTTCTTGTTTTTTTCTTTTGTTGTTGTTTAGTTGTTTTTAGAGACAGGGTCTCTGTTGTACAGGCTTGAGTGCAACGGCATGATTGTAGCTAACTGTAGCCTTGATTTCTCAAGCAATCTTTCCTCCTCAGCCTCCAAAGTAGCTAGAACAATAGGCATGCACCATGCCCAGCCAGTTTTTTCATTACCGGGTAAAGATGGGTCTTGCTGTGTTGCCTTAGCCTCCCAAAGTGTGTGATTACAGGCATGAGCCCTGCGCTGGGCTGCTTAACATTTTTTATTGCTCATTTTTCTTTTTCTGTTTAAGCAAGCATAGATATTATTAAGAATTTTTTTTTATAGAAGAAAGTACCTATCAGATTTTTTTGTATGTTTCTCAAGTTGATGGTTTTTTGTGAATTCAATGTATGTTTAACATATTTAATTGTAAAAATGTTAATTGAGAAACGTGTCATGGTTCAAATGTAGGGAAGAGTTAGAATGATATTTTAGCTGAAATATAATGTAAGCTTTCTGGACCTGGTGTAGCTTCATGGCATCACTTGTATCTTTTTTTTTCCTTAACTAGAAAAATATGCCTTTAGATGTTGTTTCAGACTGGAAGATCTTTGGGTAAAACTTTAATTGCTGTCAAGGAAAACATAATTTTCTGGCCAACTGAATATAACCACATGGTTCTACAGTCATGCAAGGTGTGTACAAAAGCAGAACTGTACTGTAATATTGAGAAAGGAAAGTTTTGGTCAAGCTGCTGCTTCTGGATCTTGACCGTAGTTACATAAACATTGAAATTTTGTGACTAATGGCCAGGAAAACAGCATTGTTTACATATTGGCCTAGAGAAACCGTTTACTAAAATTCTGTCAATAATTTGAATTGCAAGTTTCCAGAGCCAGCAGGGGCAAAAGAGCTGGGCAATGAAGCACATGATCTTTTCTACTTGTTCATTGATGCCTGACGTCTCCTGAACCAAATAGGGCTAGGCTTTCTGGGCATAGCTAGAGAGGAAACTTACAAGGCAATTATCTACAGAAAAAGTCATACATGGCCTCTGACATAGCAGGGTGCACATGACTGACTGCAGATTACTCCCAAGGGAGATTTTTTACTGGGGTATAAATCAAAGGGGCTGAAACAAGTTTTACTTTATAGCTGCAAGTAATGGGTGGTGGTGAAAGGAAGGGCAAAGAAAAGGGAAATGA